CTTTCTTTTTTTCAGGTCCAATTAAAAAAAAAAAAAAAAAAAACATTTGCTTAAAGAAGTATTAACACTTAAGAAAGGTGTATAGAGGTCAGAAACTGCAAATAGGAAAAAGGTTCTCAAGGACCGCACAGATTTCTTCCACTTTGACAGAAGTCAGGTCTGATGTGTATCTGATGACAAACCACTGTAAGTGGCTGCGCAGCTTCAGGTCTTTATAATTTGTTGCATGTTCCAAAGAGGTTCCCACCGCACTCCTTACTGGTATGTCCCATTTAAAGTGGGTGCTGCAGTGATAGAGGATGGCGCCACTTCAAATCCAAATAGTAAAGTATATCACCAGCACACCAAAGTCAAATCTTCAGCGAGTGCTCATTTTATTGATGTGCACACATCTCATCACAAAGCAATGTTTTGCGGCGACTCAGGGTCCCTTCATCGTTGAAGATTTTACTTTGGTGTGCTGGTGATATACTTTACTATTTATAATTTGTTGCCTGTCACATGTATAGTGTACCACACATAAACACAGCGTCACATGGCAGCTTCCATAGTAGAAACACAGCGTCACATGGCAGCTTCCATAGTAGAAACACAGCGTCACATGGCAGCTTCCATAGTAGAACCAGCTGCTGGCCTTCAAAAATCCCAGAAAGGCCGATATTTCACAAGTGGAGTGATTCAACAAGAAAAACATTTTGCGTCTTGGCTCAAAGACTTCAGCTTATCATGCGTGAGTGAGGCATTGTGGGCTGAGTGCACTGGGTATGCGTCAGGTCTTATTGTGACGGCCTGCGGTGTTGTGATCTCACCTTCCTGGTGGCTTTCTTGGTTTATACTTTACTCATGGTTGCTATTAAAAACACAGCATGAGCAGAGGTGGAGGGAGAACTCCATGCTGAGGTCATGGGCTAAAGCCAGCCCTACATGTACGCAAAGGAAACCACATGAGTACCATTCCCCCCCTCCCCCTCCACGAGATTTAGAATCTCCTCAGCCGGCTATTGCATTCTGATAAATTGCACCCGTGGCTGTCAGAATACTCAAACACTGACTGCACCTGATAGGCTGCACTCGCTGACAATTTTCTGCCTGGCTTTGTCGATTTTTCAGTCGAAGTTCGGGAAATAGAAGTTCCGGCAAATTCAAAAGAATCAGCTGATATTCTAACAACGTATGGCCAGCTTCAGTGAGAATAATGAGGATGGGGGCAGGGGGAGAAGGGGGCAGGAGATTTTCCCTCTCTAAAAATAAAATTCTGGATGGAGTCCTACTTTAAATCCTATGCACATGTACATATTACCAAGGGAGATTTGCCCGCTATGTGTGTCCTGCTGATTATTGGTCACCAGTATTTTTAAAGTAAAGGAAAATCCCAAATTTTAAAAAGTCAAGAGGTCAGACAACACTTGTAGTAATTTATTCTTACTTCCTGTTGTGTCTCCCGGATAGGAAATGAAGAAATGTGCACATCATAATGCAGCTGGTAGCCAGAGACCATGTGATCTTTGCCTAGGCTTAAAGTCACGCGAGAGTGATGGAAAAAATGCCGATTTCTATAGAACAAAAAAGTGGCACATTTCCATTCATGTCGGTTTGGTTTATACTGATGACAGGGTTTGTGGATGCAGTGCCAAATAATACCCTTTTGATAAACATATTTATGACCAAAACAAAGAATCAAGCTTCCTTTTTTTTTTTAAATATTGACAATAAATATTAAAAAAACATCTTACCTGTGTCTGTATTCACTTATGGATGCTCCATTTCACTGAAATCTGACCTCCACCCTTCCCTTCAGTCTTGCACAGTTGTACCGCCTCCTCTCCTGGACTGAAATTACTTTCTGATTTAACTGCACACTGCGAGCTTCTCATAATGTGCATTAGAAGTTGCAGCAAGTCACATAGAGCCCGCCTCATTTCCTGGGAGGACATCCAGCATCTTCACTGGCCTGACCCCGCCCCTTTTATTAGTTAGAGTTTAGTTCTTTCAGTTATGGTGGCTCAGCATCACATGTGACTGTTACCTAGGGCAGAGCTAGACAAATCCCAGGAGCCAGGTCACCTATGCTCCTTAAAACTACAGCTACTGCCCAACTTGAGGTTCTCTAGTTGTTGTCAATGGAGATGCAAAAATCCTGCTGGCTCCTGAATTGGACAGACTGGCTACTGGATTCCATATTAATTTGTCTACCCCTAAACTAGGGTGGTCTGCGTGCATATGCTGCTTAAGTCGGCCTAGGAATGCCCACTCTTCCAGACTGACACCCACCCATGTAAACATTTTGATATTTGCATAACTCCTCCCACCAGCCAGCCCCCTGCTTGCATCAGGGCTCTTGAGGAGTACTAAGGCAGGTTGCTGTGATCTTTCCTGGAAGCTTTGTACATCACTCTGTCGGCCCCTCCGCATTGATCTGCCTGCATTGCAAAACAAAAGCACAGAGACCCAGTGGTGACATCACCAGTTGCTCTATAAATAAGGTCTTAAAGGGTTATTAAACCCTTGCGTGCTTTTGCATTTATCTATGGCTAGCAAGCAGTAGATATATGCAAAACATTAAAAAAAACAAAAACCCCCCTTTTAAAAAAACGTACCTGTGTCTTCGCCGCGCGCTCCCGTCCGAACATCTGAAGAGTCTCGGGCGGCCACAAAGGATATTGGGGTGGGCGCATGCGCACTTCAGATGTTCGGCCGAGAGACGAGGAGAGACACAAGGTAAGTCTATGGAGCAGCGTGCACCCGCACAGCCCCCGTGGGACATGAGCGAAGAGGACGACAGAGGAGTCAGCGCTGGATCAGAGACCCGCACCCAGCACTGGAGGGGCAGCTGAAAACTACAGGAAAGATGAAGATGATCGGATAAAGAGACATCATTTAAAGGTAAGTGCTTATAGCAGGATGGGGAAAAAAATAAGTTTGACTTTAATTAGCATGTTGATGAAGGTGTAAAAGTGGAACCAGGCTAGGCAAAATATAAGCTGATTACCCTTCAGCGTTAAGAAAAAACACATGACACCCTATGCAGAAAAGCTGTGACATGCACAGACTCATCTTCAGCTACCTCTCACAATCAAACCAAAATCAATTCAAAGTCTTCTGACTTAATATACAATGTTGTGCAGACACTTTTCTTTTTTCCACCATAACACAAATAATTTTATTAACACTATAAACAGATTACAAATGTACAGACTAAGTGTGACACAAGACTTTGCATTCTGAGGTGGCAGCCGTGTTCCGCCACTTGACATGTACACAGTATGTCGAATGGATTGGATTGAAACCTTTAATCAAGTGCAAAGCGAAGGAAACTGAGAAACCTGCAAATTCATTATTATTTGTTTTATCTTAAGGGCCTTTTTGCCAAAATAGAGAGCCATTATCTTTATAGCAGGTAACAGAAACAATGTGGAGTTAAGCTCAGGCTCAGCCAGAGATGAGACATCTGATGAAGGGTAGAGGAGCTGAATGTCGCCAAGCAGGGAGGATAAGTTACGGGGTAACACTCGGCTTCCTCAACTCATACCCGCATTCCATGAATCCATGAAGATTTGCAGAACAAGCAATTGCAGCGGGGGCTTCCTTTTACCGAAATGTCACCCGTTCCTGAGTCATGTTTGCCAAGAAAACTAAACTATACCAGAACGCAGTCTTTTGAGGCCATTGGATTCCGTAGTCAGTCCTCATACACGGAGCCCAAGGAGCACTAACCTTCCTCTAACCGCCATTTCTGTGACTCTTCCTCCCGAACGTCCGGACGGATTTGGTTGCGCATTCCGCCCAGGACGTTGGAGGTGGCTTCCGTCGCTACTATAAAAGGCTTAACCACCGCGGGTGGGATTTGTCTAAGGACTCCTCCTACGGCTCCCGTCACCCCTCTGTTCTCATGCTCGCGGGCTGCCGTCTCATAGATTGTTTGAGCAGTGTCCGTTATTCCCTGGAGGGAGATAAAAACTCACATCAGAAAGCCGTATATTGTGATTGGCTGGGGAAGTTCCTCAACCGTTTGAATTGTGTTAACTGTTTGTAGTCCATTTAAAACTAATGTCTATCTAAGACTACATTGTCTACAGGCAGACAACTCTGCGTGATGTTACTGGAGGATAAACAGCGTTGTCACTCTGTTAAAAGAAAGTAAGTAACAAATCTACCGGAAGGAGCAACAGGTCATATAACTGTTGCAGGGGGACTCAGAACATGCATGTAAACAAAGAATGAGGATGTCAGCCCTGGAATTTGAACCTTTAAAAGTTAGCTTTTCCTACAAAGTCTATAGGGAATCGTTAAGACTAGGGACGCACCGATACCGATACTCATACTCGCCCAAATGCTCCAATACTTATCCTGATACCGGAACTTCTGGTCAGAGGGAGATTTCCTCTGACCGGCAGTGCCTCGAGGGAAAATGGAGCTGGCTTCCAAGGCCAACCAGCATTGAGCCGGCCAAACAGCGTGGAGCCGACTTCCCAACCAATCAGAAAGCTGGGCAGCGGATAATGACCCTTCTCCCAGCTTCCTGATTAGCCACAAAGCTGGCTCCATGCTGATTGGCTGGGAAGCTGGCTTCCCGGCCAATTAGCATCAAGCCGGCCAAACAGAGTAGAGCTGGCTTCCTGGGCAATCAAGAAGCTCGGTGTCGGGTAATGACACGCTGCCCGGCTTCCTGTTTTGTCCCGGATGCCGGCTCCATGCGACCTGAAGCACCGGTATCAAAAGATAAGTATATAGGTACTCGAAATTGATACCGAAAAACCAGCATCGGTGCATCCCTAGTTAAGACCGCTATCAGGTTTTTCTTTCCTGTCCAAGTTCCATTGGGAAGGTTTCCCTTCAATCCCTGTCCCAGAGACACAGCGGGATAAGAGGAGATCTCTTCAAAGTAAAGGGAAATCCATTATAAAATAGTTGTCACCAACCCAGGTTTACCCTATGGAAGACTAGTCCAGGGGTAGGCAACCTAGCCACTCCAGCTGTTGTGGAACTACAAGTCCCATGAGGCACTGTTAGACTCCGACAGCCACAGGCATGACTTTCAGAGGCAGAGGAATGAGGGGATTTGCAGTTTTACCACAGCTGTAGTGCAGAGGTTGCCTACCCCTGAACCAGTTTATATTAAAAACAGGATATTGTTTAAAGCTGAAAATGCTTCTTAGGACACCAATGTATTACATAAAAAAACTAGATTACCAGCTGCTTAGGTATACGTTACCTCTTTAACCACATTGTAGGCTTTGGCCACGCCTTCTCTGAGATCGACAGGCTGATGAACCAATCGGTGGTGAGAAAATCTTTTAGCTCTTTTCAGCTCTATAGGGCTTGGCCCAGGGGACACCATGTCATAGGCAGTCTCTGCAGCAGCCTGATCAGCACAGGGAAAGATAAAACAAAGAGTACAGAAGCCGGCATTACATTCCAAGTTCAGCAAAACTAGTTTCAAGTTCAGCAAAACTAGTTTCAAGTTCAGCAAAACTAGTTTCAAGTATCAATCGCATGAATCCAGATGCAAGGTCTACCTATATGTACACCAGAAAGGCGAGTGCTACATGGCAGCTTAGGAATGGGAATACCTGAATAGTCTGGACGACCCTATTGGTAAGTTCCAGGGCAGCCATTGCCGTAGACGTGCCGAACGATGCAGCACCTTTTTGGAAGCCCCGCACGATGCGGCCATCTTTGCAGTACTGCTCAATGGGCAACCACACCAGATCCTTAAGACCCTGAACTGAAATAGGATGCAGCTTATGAGACACAGACAGAAAAAAAACACACCAAAACAGGTTTTACTCTATAAAGATCCCATTGAATGATCAGTATGGAAGAGACTATAGCCTAGCAAGTCGCAGGAGAGCTTTGACTTCTGTAACAAGGACACTCCACTGTAGACAGGAGGTGCAAGTAAAATGCAGTTTTATTAAAAGGGCAAACAGCAAATATCTCATTCCATCCACAGGGTAGACCTCCCCTGTTGCACAAGACAGTCTTTTAGCTTCGCTCTGTAGCTTTCCTCAGCTCCAAGAAACTCACGCTGCTAACCCCTTGTGAGCCCTCAATCTGCTCTTAGCAGTGTGTACCACAGGTCCTAGGGTCACAGACCTTCCTGACCTCTCCCAGCTGTTCCTTGTGCGTCCAGCACGCACCCGAGTCTGCGTGTGTCCGTGTGCCTCCTGCGCACACACACAACTCCAACTCAGCTCCCTCTGAGAACTGGGCTGGCTTCCTAATGAGGCTGCTCAGCCACCTGATCAGCCCAAGCTGGTCATTGGTAACACCTGGCCCCAGGACTGGAGATCTCATCCCACCCAGAGCTCTACGAAATCTCCAGAGCTCCAGATCCCAGTTACAATTCAGAAAACCTGGAAGGACCTGAATATCCAGGCTCTTCCTTATAATATTGTTTACATTCTGGACCCTCTCAGCCCCCTTGGCTGAGAGTCCTGGGTGCCGATGTTGCCATACTATGCCGTGGCATTGCCCTGCACTGCCACACTTCATTGCATGTATATGGTTTTCCAACAATATACATGCAAGTTACAACATTAATTTTGGGTACATCTAGTTTAATAAAGTTCGAACATGGGGGACATGAATTATAAACCGGGGACCAGTTTATAATATCTGCAGCCTTGGTCTTCTCCCTGGTTGCACATTCAGATAATTTCAAGCTCCTCTATTTTATTTGCCAGACTTCTAGCGTTGGTGTACATACATTTAATTCCTCTCTTTTTGTGGGACAAAAGTTTACTACCTTGTTGTTCCCCACTATTTTTATTGTTATTATTCTGCCTTGATTTCGGTCGTCCGTTGTTAGTTATACTTACATGTGCCAACGGATTTCCTATATTGACTGGAGTGAGCCCACTATTATTAACTCCTTTTTTACTACTTTCTGTGTTATTTTTATCTATCCGTCATTTTATCTATCAGTTAGCTATAAATAAAGAAGTCACTGCCTTTGGCCAGCTACTGGTCTGTGAGAGATCCCAGACAAATAACTTACAGATGTCTGTGACTTTTGTTGGAAGATGCTGTATACGTGGAAAGGGTAGAAAGGTCAATAAAGTGGCCATAATATATGACATGCCAGAATTAAATTGTTTCCCTACCATACACAGAACACTAAATAATGGATGGGGTGTGAATGAGAGCGAATAATAGCAATGAAGAGTACAACAGATGGACTGGAAAAATGTCAGGAGAGAAGAAACCCCTTGTTAGTCCTTTGTATTGAAGATTGGAGACAGGGGCAGCATGAAAGGTGTGTATAAAACACAAAATAATTACCAAGCTGAACCAAAGAATGCATCGGCCCCACTCCTCCCAGAATCCCCGGCAACTGGTTCTTCTTGATGTCTGTCAGCCATTCGTTTATGGCATAAGAGAAAAGCTTATCGACGCCCAAGAGGCTGCAGAAAAAAAAAGCAATAACATAATAATAAAACTGAATTTGTAATTTTTATGTGCTGTTAAATATAAAACCAATAAAGTAATGTCACCAAAAAAAAAAAAAAGACAATGAGGGCTATTATGGCACATAACACCTGGCACAGAATGTCATATGACCTATTAGGTCATGTGGCACAGTATAGAAACTCACATGGGGGGTGGGGGGGAGCAGCTACATCTCCTGCCTCAGGAAAAAGAAAGAGTTATCCTAGCAACAATGCAACTCGTGCAACAATCAGTTTATGAATATTTATTTCAATGGCCACCCCCACTTTCCCTGCGTCTCTTTTGCCTAAATGGATACACATTTGTTCTGCTTTTGAAATCTTTTTAACCCCCCCGGGGAACCCTTAAAATAATATTTGGGTGTCAGGGAACTGATGGTAAAATTAATTCATGGTGGTCAGTGGAAATAAAGTCCCTTACTTTGGTGGTCAGTGAGAAAAATTTCCCTTTACGTTGGCGGACAGCTAAAAAGATTATTGGTGTTGTGCCGCTGGCTATGCCGCTGTAGAATTGTGCAGACACTATTCTATAGACAGTCAGTCAGCCACAGCTCAAGGAACCCCTCTGGAGGAAGTCAGGTTGAGAATGGCTTTCTTAAAGCAAACCTGTACTTTGCACAATCGTTTAGATTGTTAGCCTTCAGGGGCAGGGCCCTCCTTACCATCTTGTATTGAATTGTATTGTGATTGTAATGTCTTCCTTATATTGTAAAGTGCTGCGCAAACTGTTGGCGCTATATAAATCCTGTATAATAATAATAATAATAATAATTCAAGTCAGATTTACAGACGTATATGTTACCCGTGACGGTAGCACAGCCTCTTCAGCTTTAGTTCAGAGTTGTTCAACTGGGCCAGGCCGATCAATATTCCAGTGAACGTACCCTAGGAACACAAAACACAAGAACCAATATATGAGATGCCCACAAAACAAACATGTGAGTTATACAGCACAGGATGACCCGTCTGGCTGAAATACTCTGATCATTCGGGAAAAGTATTATGTAATCTCTGCCTACTGCTTGCATCATCTTTAAATGTCCATACTGGTCAGACTGTGCACTTTCCTGGCACCAATTTGCACTCTTCATTGTGTAACCTTTTTCCATTACAGAACCATTGCATGTAAAATAAAGACTTTAGAGCAGAACACCAAATAAAAGGTGAATTACATTTTTTGTTTTTGGATGGAGTAGGAAGGATTAAAACCCCCATCAGTTTATTTTTTGATATCCATTCACTTCCTGTGCTGGAGGCATAAAAGGAAGTGATAGATAATCTCACTGACACTTCCCCGTTCTGGTGACAACTATGAAAGTTTAAACCTGCATCACTTTCTGCCCCAGTGACAGAGGACATCAGGACAAACAGAAAGGGTGAATCTACCTAGTGGGGACGCATACAGCAACAATGTCAGGAACTCTAAAGCTGGCTATTCATTTTCATACATGCTTGATTCAGCCCTCCAGGCTAAACAGCTTGGCTGGGGAATCCTCCCTGCAGAGCTATTGCATTTTGGTATTGGCGGGGCAACCACTGTCAGAATACCTGAACAGTGATTGCAGCTGACTGGCCACTGTTTAGCCAACACATTTTCGGACCAGCTTCTTCATCTTTGTCAAACAGGGAGATCCCGAGGGGGGCCACACACTGCTCAAATTTCGGCAGGACTTTAAAATTAGAGCAGTGTATGGCCAGGTTAACTTTGCCCTAAACTATTCAAAACTTAAAAGTGTTGGCTGCACATTTATTATTTATTTAAATTGTAAGATGAATTGTACACCCACATTTATTTTATCTGCAGGCTTTTGGTCAACCTGGTTGGATCTGCCCCACCTGAGCCATTCTTTTTGGCAGCAAAGACGGTTAAAAGTCTATGAATTTTAAATTAATTTTTATGCTAATAAGTCGCTGCCCCGATCCCCCAGCCCAGAGACCCTTCCCTAACTTGGGCTCTTTGTTATAGGATAGGTTTGGTGCACTAAGCTGTCAGGAAGGTCTGCTTCCACATGGTCTCTCTTCATTTGTGCTCAGACAACAGTGGGAGAGGCCCACCTTCATTCCAACCACCTGCTCTATCTGGTTCCGTTTCATTTGTGCTCAGACAACAGTAGAAGGGAGGATCCATCCCAACCCCAACCACCTGCTCTATCTGGTTTCGTTTCATTTGTGCTCAGACAACAGTAGAAGGGAGGATCCATCCCAACCCCAACCACCTGTCTTATCTGGTCCTTCATTTGTGCTCAGACAAAAGTAGAAGGGAAGATCCATCTCCACCGTGACCACCTGCTCTATCTGGTCTTTTTAATTTGTGCTCAGACAAGAGTGGGAATTAGGCCCACCTTTACCATGACCATCTGCTCTATCTGGTCCCTTCATGATTTGCACTTGGAAAACAGTGGTTAGGAAGAGAAGTCTCACCCGCCGCCAATACCCGTCTTATCTGGTCCCTCTTGATTTGTGCTCAGACAACAGTGAAAGTGAGGTCCTAACCCAATCCAAACCACCTGTCCTATCTGTTCCTTCTTCGTTTGTTCTCAGACAACATTGAAAGAGAGAGGTACTATACCCACCCTGAACATCCTGAAGCAAAACATATTACATAGACATCATCACTCCCCCAAAAGTTGAGACCTACCTGATCCATTGAGAGATGTTTTCCGTGGTAATCTAGTCTTATGGGGACTTCAGAGGTGAATCGGAATTCTCTAAACAACAGATGACAAAAGTGAGTAAATGCACATAGCAGAGGTTTATAGGAGATAGATCTGCACATACCTTACCTGCCTCTGTCCCCAAAAGAGCTTACAATCTAAAGCTAAACAGATGTCCCCCACAGGGATAGGAGACATATTACTTTGATCTATAGTACTGGGATTTGGTGTGTTCTCATGCTCTCAACTTGTCTATTAAGCAATCCAAATTCAATTTTCTTTTTAATTAATTATGCATAAATGAGGAATGGTTAAAACCTGTCCTTGCTTCCAATCTTGTAGACAGAACAGGAAGTGGGAGGAAATCTCTCTAAAGTGAGGCAAATCCATTTTTTCTGTCTTTCCTCCTCTGTTTTCCCAGCACTTTCAGATACAATTTAAGTCTGAAGCCAATGAATCCATTAGTAGCATTAAGACTGCAGGAGTACATCTACCAAGCCAAAACCCCATATTCTCCATACAGTTATTGTCACTGGTGGAAATTGATCAAGACACACAGACTGCTCTATTTCATAAACCTGCAAACCAGAGACGGCGTGGACAGAAGTCACCCCCTAATGAACATACCGGAAAAATACAGGCTGGTCGCTGAAAGACGTGTCATCCTTCAACGTGTCCGAGGCATCACTGAATTCTGTAAAATATACATCCCCATTTTTCAATGGCTGGTTCTGTCCTATTACTGAAATCACCGGCACTCGACCATGCGCGTTCAGATGTTTTGGCAGACTGCATGTGACATCAGAACCCGGTGACCTCCTTACTGAAAATCCAAAACCAAGACAGACTGTTATTGTATCTCTAAGTCCTACACAGTAGAAATAAAATGTGCTTTATATAAAAACAGAGGACTATACAACATCACTGTGATGCACCTTTCTAAATGGGCAGAAAAGTAGTCTGAAGGGATTTTAGAAAGTGTATATGGAAAATATACTTAAACGTGGAATTTTTCCATTAAACTTAATGTAGAGTTAATGCTTGTTATGGTTTCTTTAAGGTAATCACTGATAATTCTGCACAGCAAATCTTGTGATCCTGGCACCCCTTCTAAACTACTTACAAATTTCCAGCCTCCACAGCAGCACATCAGAGTTAAAAGGAGAACTATGGGGTCAGGGCTTTTCCTCATAGTTCTCCGAAGGGTAACGGGTGGACACAAACTAGCGTCCTCTCGTCACTCAAAGCTCAGTATACCGCTAGCTACAGCTCGCGGTATGCTGAGACGCCGCAGCCGGGACGGATCCCGACATTACTGTCTGGATCCACCCAGCTGCATGATTGACAGCTGGCTCTGCCTATCTAGAGGCATGGTTTGTTGTATTTTTAAATGAAGCTAATATAAATGCCCAAATCGGTTTTTATGTCAGTTTCCTAAATTAAAATAAAAGGAGGGGCGACGCCGGTTCTGCAATGCTGCCAACCTTACACAAGAAGGGTTAAGCTAAAGCTGAACTTCAGGCAAACACCTGAAGATACTATAGAGACACATATACTGGAAGGTGTTTACGTGCAAAAGGGTTTGTATTTCTGTGTATCCATTCCTGACATACACAGACCTGCCGGACATTACAGTCTGACTTTTCTCTACAGCCATCTGGTTGGCTACCTTCCCCGGCTGAGGAAACACTAGCAGGGTAGTGATTGGTCATCCCTCTGTTCACTCTACTCGTTCCTCTAGTGAGAATTCTCCTTGCCAGCTAATACACACTGCAGCACACCTGATTGGCTCCTAATTCTGATCATTCCTCTCAGCCTAAAGTAGGTTCTACATTAGCAAACGTTCATACTAAAAATCCCGTCGGAACGTTCGATAGTACCATCAGAGGCAAGGCGATTGTCGTCCGAAATTTCGTTCAATATTCATTTCCATTTAACATTTGATTTTGGAATGAATGGAGTTTTTTGAACATTTTCCTTCAAATCTTTCTCTCACTGCGGTCGAAATCGATTGATTTTACCGCATCAACGATCAGAAAATCGAAATAGACAGACGGACGGAGGAAGACTTGCAGTGTGGAAAAATGCTAATATGCTGCATTTTTCTGCACCTCTCCAGTTGTAGTGTGAACAGGGCACATAGAGAAAACAACTGTTTCCTATGTGCACTTGGGGAAACCTGCATTGCTCAGGTACATAAAAATGCAGGTCTCCGTGAACAAGCCCTATATATTTTCATTCACTGAACACACACCTTCACATTTGATCTGCTTGGAGTTCAGCTTTAAGGTTAGGGTGAGGGAAAGAGATTTAAACTTGCTTGGAAAAAACGTAGGGTTATAGTCAGGCAAAATGGTTAATGACAAAAAGGGAATTGGGGGGGAAACTCTGTGGATGTGTTGGATTGCAAGGGCTGGTTTTAAGCTGGAGGGGAACTCAATGGACCTCTTAGTTGCAAAGACAGGTTATAAGCTGGGGTGGCAAACTCAAAGGCCCTTTCGGGTTGTAAAGGCAAGTTATAAACTGGGGGGGAACTCAATACAC